CTAAGGACGTCTTTATTTGCACTTTATCATGAAGGATAGTTTTAGTGAGTACATAATTCTGGATTGATAGATTTTTTCTCAACAATTTATTGTCTTCTGCCTATGTGGTTTCTGTAGAACTATGTTAGTCATTGTTCACCTGTATGTAATGTGTTCTCTTTCTCCAGTTACTTTCAAGATTTCTTTCTTTATCTTTGGTCTTCAGCAGTGTGATTTTGATGTGTCTGATTTTGGTGTCGTTTTTTAAAAATTTATCTGTTTTTAGGTTCACTGAGCTTGACTATAAATTGATGTCTTTCACCAATTTGGGGAAGTTTCTGGTCATTATTTCTTCAGGTAACTTTTCTGTCTCAGCCACTTACTCCTCCACTTCTGAAACTCAAATTACATCCATGTTAGAGCTTTTGATTTTATCCCAGAAGACCCCAAAACTCTGCTCACTTTTTCTGTCCCTTCTCTCTGTTTTTCATATTGGATAATTTCTTTTGATCCATCTCCATGTTCCCTGATTCTTTCCTCTATCCTATTCACCCTGCTACTTTGGGTGTCAAATATATTTTTTATTTTGGACTTTTTTTTAGTATCAAAATTTGTATTTGGTTCTTAATTTTTTCTTGCTTTTTTTTTCCCCCTGAGAATTCCTTAATTTTCATCCCTACCAAGTGTGTTTTTCGTTAGTCACTTGTACATCATCTTTGGAAAAGTGTCTGTCCAAGCCCTTCGTCCATTTAAAAAGTTGGATTGTTTGTCTTTTTGTTGTCGTATTGTAAGAGGTCTTTGTATATTCTGAATACTAGACCCTCCTCAGCTGTATGATTTGTAAACATTTTTTCCAGTCGTGTTGATTTTCTTTTCATTTCCTTGATAATGTTCTTTGGTGCACAACATTTTTTAATTAGGATGAAGTCTACTGTATCTGTTCTTTGTCTTCTCTTGCACCTGCTTTGGTGTCGTGTCTAAGACTGTTGCCAAATCCACGGTCAAGAAGACTTGCCCTGTGCTTTTCTGAGAGTTTCGAGGTCTTATACTAAGGTCATTGATCCGTTTTGTGGTAATTTTTGTGTATAGTGTGAGGCCGCGTTCCAGCTTCATTCTTCTGCGTGTGGACATCCCATTGTTCTAGGACCGTTTGTTGAAGAAGCTGTTCCTCCCCCCTTAAAAGATCTTGGCACCCACGCCGAAAATCGGTTGACCATCAATGTTTTAGTTTATTTCTGGACTCCTGATTCTGTTGCATTGTTCTGTGTTCCCATCCTCATGTCCACAGTCTTTTAAATCCTGTAGCTCCATAGTCAGTCTTGAAATTGGGATGTGTGAGCCCTCCAACTTCGTTCCTCCTCTATTCAGTCTTTACTCTTTGCCATAGACAGGCTTAAGTCTCCCTAATTAAAAATTTTTTTCTTAAAATTTTTCTTCATTGAAATTCTTTATTCTGATACTTTATTTGCCCACCTCTGTCTCTGTCTCTGTCTCTCTTTCAGTCCTTTACTCCAGGATCCACCACCCAGCTTAGGAGTTAGGACATTATACAGGGCAAGTCCCCTGTGTGTCCCTCCTGTTAGCGTCTTCCCTTTCCCCCCCCTCCCGTGAGCAATCACTACTCTGAATTTTGTGCTGTTACCTTGATTTTCATTATAGTTCCGCTATGTATATTGTAAAACAAGGTAACTTTTTGTGCCTTAAGAAATGGAATCACGCTGTCCCTCCTCTCTTGACTTCCCATGCAGTGCTGTGACATCCATCTCTGTCGTCATGTGTAGAGCTTTAGTTCATTCATTTTTCACTGCTTAAATTCTGCTGGCATCTGAAGATGCCGTAGTTTGCTCATCCATTTTTTCCCGGACGTTGGACTGTTTACAATTTGTTTTTGACTGCTACAAACGCTACTCCTGCACGTCTTTGTGCATCTCGTATGTAGAAGGGGAGGGTTTCTCTGCGGTATGTTTTCTTTAGCTGTGGAATTGCTGAGTCGGCGCTTCTGAGCATCTTCAGCTTTGTCAGATGTCACCAGGTTGTTAGATGTCACCAGGTTGTTTCTCAAAGCAGCTGGGCCAGTTTACATGGCCTGAGTCTTTGTGTGCAAGTTCTTGTTGCTCCACGTGCTCTTCAGCGCTGTCTTTGTTCAATTTATTCTGCCAGTCTGGTGAGTTGAGAAGAGCGCCTGACTGAGCTCTCCTTTGCCTTTAGCTGCCTGCTGTTGAGGTTGGTCAGAATTCTGTCTATTTATTTGACACATATGGCTTTTCTTTTGCTCATTTTGAGGTGGGGCTCAGTTTTTTTGTTTGTCTTTTAATAATGGATTGGTAGGAATTCAACATTTATTTGAAAACTTCTCATCTGTCATTTTTATCTGTTAAAATTGTATTCTCTGGGTTTGTTTTTTTTTAAGTTGCTTTTTCATGAATGGAATATATATATTTCTAACTGGAGTAGCTTTAGGTTTCTTTACATAACATCATTCTCCCAAAAAGTCACTTCGTCAGGAAATGTGAGTGGGTGTAAGTTGACAAGTTCCGTGAAGATAACCTTCTGCTTGTCAGGCTCGATTCTAGCAGTTTAAGTCTCTGATGTCACTGCTGTATCATCCATATTTTCAGCGTGGGGCATTCGGAACATTTAATGACTTTCCGACATCTCCCCTCTCCGTCCCCGTGCGCTGTCAGGTCTGGTCTTGCCCTCTGCGACAGCGCCTGGTGCCAGGAAGGCATAGTCTGGGGTGCTCCTGTTTGACGAGAAGAGGGAGCTCAGAGCCTGCCTGGGGACTCCAGTTACCCTGTTTGCACAGAATCTGATTTGTTTCCTGGTGTATTTTTTAGTTCTTTCTCATCCTGCTTAGAATCCAGGCCATCCCCTCCAGTATTTCTGTCACTGTAGAAAGAGCTGAGGTTTTGGTAACTTGACTCAAGCTGTTGTATGTGTATGTATTTCTGATGTCTTTGCAGCTGTCATAGTGAGTGTCACGTACCGTCTGTGGCATCGTCTCTATACACAGGAGACTTCTGGGAAGCAGAGATTCTGTCCTGTGTCTTATTTTCATAAGACATCTAAACTCTTGGATATTTAGCAAACATAAAGCAATAAATGTGAAACAGTGAAGAAATTTTCCTTGCCCTGTCGATGTGGAGTTAATTTTCCATGTCAGCTGTTTTCCTTTTTCCTGTTGTCTCCGCATTCCTGAAACAGTGACCCCAGTGATGATGATGATAATGATTAATAATAATACAGCCCAAACATTAGCTTTTGACCTTGTGAACCTGGAGTGGCTTGTGAGCTTCCAAATAAAAGGTGTGGATTAGAGAGAAATGGAAGCTTGGCACGTTTGGGTTGCTGCAAGTGACCGTTTCTTTCTTCAGAGTCCATCACTGTTCCCAGGCCGTCCGCTCACCCTGTGTCCTGACACTATGGCCCTGACTTTGAAGCACTTTTTGCCTTTTCACTGCGGGAGGAGGAGGGTACTTCTGTGCCCACTTGAATTTTGGCTTGGCCACCTGCCCGCTCCGGCTAAAGGGACATTAGCAGATGAAGGAAAAGAGGCTGCAAAGTCCTTGGCAGTTGGTCGTACCCTCTCTTGCTTCTACCTCTGTTAGGAGACAAGCGCGCACAGCCTGCTTGTTCTAGAATAGGAAGAAGCATGTGGAGGGGACCTGAACCAACCCTGCAGCCCGGAGCCCAGCCCGGTCTGGACCAGCCGGGCCCCCGCCCCGCAGACGCATGGCTGGGCTGCAGACCCTGAGGTTTGGGGCGGTGTGTCCATCCGCGGTAGCCGGCTGGTGGAACGCACGCTGTGGTCGTCTTGCATGGTCTTTCTCAGCTGACCCGGGCCCCCGAGTGTGCTAAAGCATCTCTCCTCCAGTGGCATCGCACAGAGTTCACTTCTTTCTGTTCCTCACCATCTCCCTTTCCAGCTTAGTGAGAAGGATGATTTGAACAGAGCCTGACTTCATCTGCTTCCCTCCCTCCCTGGAGAAGCCACTGAAAGAGGCTCCCAGGGCTTGGCGGGCATGGTGCTTGTTTCCCGAGCCAGACAGGGATCAGGGGTGGGACTTATCTGAAAAGTCCTCCTTGTGAGGACTTTTCTGAGACGCTCCTGACCTCCGGAAGACCACGTGTGTGTGTGTATGTGCACGTGCAATCACATTCTCACTATATCCTTTGTAAAGTTTTAGTTCCAGGTGTCTGTCTTTAATCAGCCTCAGGTAGAAAGCTCTGGAATCACTAGAATGTAAGCTTCTTGAGAGCAGGCACTGTGTTGGTTCTGATCGCTGTTGTCTTCCCAGTTCCTAGAACAATGCCTAGCACGCGGTAGACACTCAGTACGCATATTATAAATGCGTGACAGGCACACGAGTGAGTGGACCCCTGCTTCCTCATCCCGCTGTGCACTGTTCTTTCTTCAGGCTCCTTGAGGCAGTAAATGTGGAGGGAAAGCACTCTGGTTCCCCAGGCTGACCCCTGGCCTGTGTGCCCCCAGCTGCTCACTGCCTAAACACGCCGGAGAGGTTTAATGTTAGTACCATCCACAGGGGGTTGTGCCTTGTTTTATAGCATCACGTGGAAAATTGCGTAACCGCTGAACTTTGCACGTACGGTTGGTTAATCAGGTTTCTTCCCCGTACCCCTTAAATAAACTCTCAGGAACTATGAAAAAAATAAAAAAGGATGCTCATACAATTGAATTTTCTTTAAACTGTTTATGACGCTCTTGCTTCACGGGATCACTGCAGCCTTGCAGGCGGCTAGTGATGAGCTGCTCAGTGGCTCAGTTTCATTTTCTCCCTTGCAAAACGGCTCTTTAGGAGTTTAGGAATTATTTATGGTACTGTGGGGATAAACACGATCTGCTGAGTTATTTTTCTCAAGGTTCGTTTCTGTATTTTAGGCCGGAAGCAAGGTCTTTGTGAAATGGCCGTGTTGGTTTGTCCGTGGATAAAGTGAAGTAACATCATTAGGCCAAAGTTTACCAGATTCTCACACGGTGTTTTTTAACTGACATTATTCAGGAGCTGGCCATGGACAGCATTTCTCACAGGGTGTGACCTAGAACCCTGGGTATTCCTAGGTGCTTCCCAGGAAAAAGAAGATGTGATCTTCGGCTGAGTGTGGAAACCTGTGAGTTGGAAGAGTCCAGTGTCTCTCTTTACCAGAGAGCATCTCTGAGCTCCAGGGCGTCTGGGCCAGGCGCAGAGTGAGCAAGTCCCCCAGACTCACGGGACACAGGATTCCTTTATGAGAAGATCCATGTCCCTTGGCTGCTGGGGGGGACCGCAAACTGGGAGACAAAAGAAGTGTATTTGCGGCGATAATGACGAAGCATAGTAAGATATCCTTTTTAAATTTTACCCCGAGGAGTGCCTTCAGCGTGAAGGGAAGCAGCTGATATCAGCATACGTAGTTTAGAACATTCATGTAATATTGTAGACTGTCTACAGAGCCCTGGAGACTGAGGCTTTGTGGGCTTTGAAGGCGCTAGGAAGGGAAGGCTCTCAAAATCCATTACTTGATTCTTCCATTTACTAAATCAGCCTTTCCTCTCTCCGTCCCTTCCTTCAACGAACATTTAAGGAGGAGCTGCGTGGCAGGCGCTATGCGGGGTGCGCAGGTACAGAGGCCACCTCTGCCTGGCCGGGTCGTGAGCCCAGTGGTGGAGCCTGGCAGGCCACGTGCTGTGTCCCGGGTGCAGGGACACAGCTGAAGGGGCACGGTTCCTGGAGAGACGGGGCAAGGCTTCAGGTTCCACGACGGGTGGAGTGAAGGGAGGGCTCTTCCAGACAAGGAGAGCGCTTGTTTCCTGCTCTAGGAACAGCCCTCATAGCCCCGCTCACTTTGTTCCCAGTTGAGATTTTTTAAGTGGAGAAATCATGCGATCAGATTTAGTTTTTCTTTTTGTTTTGTTTTGTAAGAGAATTCCAGAGCAGTGAAGAATTGGTGCTGGGAAGACAGGATAGAAGCTGTTAATCCAGATGAGAAGGTGATGCCTGACTTTGAGCAGTGGTAACGGGGAGCGCAGGGGAAGGGAAGGTGGGCTCCAGGGGTGTTCCTGGGGCGACACGGCCAACTCTGAAGTAGGGGTCGAATGGGGCTGAGAGGTGGGCCGGAGGGAGGATTTCAGTGTGATCTCGGCCCGGGGTGCGTCCGAGTGCAGCTTGGGTGACTTGTGACACCACTTCACGGGCTGGAGCGGAGGATGGTGGAGGTTGCCCCTGGCCCTGGGCCTCTTAGGTCTGAAGTGCCTGTAAAGCACCAGATACCTAGGAGGTGGTTGGAAATACAAGACTGGAAAGTGTGAGAGAGCTTCATACGAGAATTTGGAGTCATCTGTGTTGTTAAAAGTCACGAAATTAAGATGATGTCAAGAGATTATTATGAAGGAGGGAGAGAAAGGCCAAGGAATACCAGGTTTCAGAAAAGGAAACATCCTCTGGGGTCCCTTCTTCACTGAACTCACTCTTATTTGTTGGCCTAGGGGAGGTGTCACGTGGTTCAGGTTTCCATTCATTCATTCGTCATTCATTCCTTCACTCACTCAGTATTTGCTGAGCACCTGGTACCACCACGTGGCGATGGAGGTGTGAAGCCAGAGGTGGTCCCTCCCTGGTAGAGATCACAGTCCGTGTGCCGTGACCACGTGGCGCTGTGCCTGCCCTGCAGAGGGAGCCCGTGGCGCTGCGGGAGCAACAGGATGGGGCTTCAAGTGCCACGTCGGGGGTGGGGGAGTCTTCAGGAAGACCCCCTCATCTGGGGCTCGAAGAAGGAGTGAGAGCCAGTGGTGAAGGGAGTGGGGAAGGGGAAGCCGGTACTGGGCCAGGAGCTGGCAGACCTGTTCTGGAAGGACCAGATGGTGCACATGTCAGGGTTGGCCGGCCATCTGGTCCCTGCTGCCGTGACTCAAATCTGCTGTTGTTGCGCGGGAACAGCCACAGACCTCAGCAAACAAACGGTGTGGCCGTGGTCCAGTGATACTTTACTGATGGCTGCTGAACATCTCATGTAATTTTCATGTGTCATGAAACAGTATTCTTCCTTTGATGCTTCTCAACCGCCTCAAAATGTAAAATGCAGCCTTAGCCTGCAGGCCAGGCACACGCAAGGGGAGTGGGGCCGGACTTGCCTGCAGACGGTCTGGCCAACTCCTGTTCTGCGTGAGAGGAACCGCTTGTTTAGAGGTCGAGAGGTCAGAGACCGTCCCTGGCTCCTGGAACATCCTTTTCTGAGCTGATCTCCTTGCATCCAAGATCTCCGGTCCACGCTACAGGCAATTACTGGGGGGGGGGGTCTTCCTGGACCGCCTGTCTCATAACGTCTGTGCTTTCTGGAGAAACTTCCAGTGATTCTGCATGAAGGTGGCTGAGATCGTCCCCTCGCTTGTCTGCTTTGTTCGCCTCAGCTCCCCTCCAGGTGGGATGTGGGAGAGGTTTTATTCTACTGACACTAACGTTGTGTTTTAGATGTGATCGGAGGTGTTGTCAACGCTTCGGGGCTTTCCAGGTCACTCCTCGTGCCTCTGCATGATCAGTTTGCTTTCCTTCTGAGCTTTTTGCCTATTTCCTGGAAAAGTTACTTTTGGATTAATTTACATATAAAAGTCCTATATTTTTCATCTCGTTTTTATCCTGCCACTTCAGGTAGCGGGAAATAAATGAAAGTCTTCAAATGTTGACTTCTAAGGGTTTATTACCACAGACAGCTTCATTATGTCTGTGGGGATCCAGTGTGCTTTGAAGGAATTAATCCAGCCTCACTTGCAATCTGTATATGTTTACATAGAATGAACAAACATTGTATCGCGGTTCGTGAAAATTCAGTTATTCCTGTCTCCAGGAAGTATGTTCTTAGAGTTTAATTCTCAAGTGAGTCAGTATGATGCTCTTTGAACTGTCGTAAGAATTTGGGATTCGGGGCTCACTGCTGCCGTTTATAATCGGGAGAAACGCCTGGTGAAGCCTTCACCCCTGAAGCCCCGATTCCTTATTTGGGGTTGGGGTCAACATGTGTCTGTGTGGTGTCGGGCTGATATGGGCTACTTATTCCCGCTAGATTTTTCTTAGAATTAAGTAAAGTGAAGGCTAATGCTGCACATCATTAATATTTTTACCTTGGAATCTACTATATAGAGAATATATTTGAAATCTCCATGACGGTTATCAACTTGTCAGTTTCTTTCGCAAGACCCTAACCTCCCTGAGGGTAGGAACCCCAGTCAGTTCCTCCTTGTCAGCGGCTGCGACATTAAAAACTACTGGAGAAATGCTGAGTGGGGCTTCTGGCGGGCGGAGGTGGGTGCGGGGACGGTGACAGTCTGATTTGGGCTGAGGGCCTGGTTGCTTGGCATCTCTGAGGAGCAGGTGGACTGGGGGTGGCTCAGGATTGGGAGCTGCTACGGGGTCGGGGAGGGACAGTGCGCGTAAGTCAGGGAGCACAGGTTGGGACTGGGGAACCGCTGAGGCTTCTAAACAGTCGTGTTGCGGTCAGGGTGGCACGTGGGTCCGTGCTGACCCGGCCTCTGCCTGCCCCCCAGCTCCTGCTCCTGCTGGAGCTCCTCCTGCCCCCAGGGGCTCCCGAGCACCCCTGCGCTCGCTTGCCAGCCGTGCTGCCGTTTGTTTGTGGCTCGGCCTCCGCTGTGTCAGGGTTTATTTCTCCGTCACCCGCTTCACACACACCTCCCCTTTAGTATGCACTCAGTAGAGATTCGTCAGATGCGTGGATGAGTGAATGCAATCTGGCACAAAACCTCCACCTCTGGACTGAAAGGTGGATGGAGGGAGCAGAGACGGGAGGCAGTGAGTCGGCTAGGAGGGTCATGTAGCAGCCTAGAAGAGAAATGTGGGGGCTTGAATTACATCTGTGGCAGCTGAAATTCCAGGGAGGGAATCACTTCTGGAGACTCGAGGAGGTAGAACTGACAGGCCCTGGCGATCCCTGGCGATCATCCGATAAAACGGGTGCTGTGAAGACTCCAGGGACGCAGAAAAGCAAGAACGCACTTGGTCCGCACCTGATCATGTCGCTCCCTGGATGTTTCAGTGGGTGGCGGGGAAGCCATTCTGTGTAGGTTTGATTGAAAATCAGCTTAACTAAGGGTTAACTGTCTTGGTTTGAAAACTTCTATTATAGAAGGTTGGACAACAGAGTAAATCATGGGGCACTTTTTACTTAGTTATTTGATTATTTAGATTTATTCATAACCGAGTTCTACAAAGGCTGCGAGAAAGCAACATCTATATAGATACAGATTTATCTGGATGAAACAAAAATCTGGGGAGAAAAGGGAAATGACAAAGCTGGGTGAAGCTTGCAGCAAAGGAATACACATCTGTCTGTGTCGCTGGAAGGGGACATACGTTTGGCTCCAGCTGCCCAACGGTAAAGGAAAGAGGGTAGCAGTGGTTAGTTAATACACTCTACAGTATCTGCAAGGTCTAGGCACGCCCCGTTTTTCCCCTAGAGAAAGCACAATGTTCTTGGCACCGAGAGCTGAGAGAAAATCCTCTCTCCCCTGTGAGGCCCTGTCTTCAACACAATAGGATTTCACAGTGTTTTTCTTACGTCCCTTAGTCTCTTCTTACTAGTGCGATAGGATTTGATTTGCTCTGCTTGACATGCAGTGAAGTTAATTGTGGAAGATCTCAGATCGGCAGACCATTTCCAAATCCCCTTTTCTGTCCTTTGCTCTCTGCTCACTTGGTAAGCCCCACTTGCAGCCCCCCATGTGCGCGGCATGTCACCAGGTGCCCCGGGGGGTCCCAGAGTGTGTCGGAATTGAGTCAGGAGCTCACCGTCCTGGCGAGCAGTCTGGGTGCAAACCCACGGACGGTGTGCTAAACGCAGTGGGCGGAGACGTGAGGTGAGGTCTGCGAGTTGAGCGGGTGGAGAGGGGCCAGTGCAGGCTGGAGGGGCCGAGGCAGGTTTGAGAAGAAGGAATGATTTGTTTATGATAGCCTCAATAGTTTTATTATTCAGTTTATGCAACCAGTTGGAAATTGAGTCATTAGTTGATTCTTTCAACAAGTTGTGAATTTTCGTCAGAAACATTATGTTCCCCATTTTTGTTGCTGCTGCTGCTGTTGTTTCGTAGAAGTGTGCCTGGCGGTTCTGTGAGTGCCATTTGGGTCACTGAATATGCCGTCCTCCGCTCCACAGATGCCTGGGCGTGGTCCTGCCGTCCCTCCTCAGCCCTGTGCCGACAGCCTTCCGGCCTAGTTTACATCCTTTTGTTGAGTGGTTCATACTGTTCTGAGACATAAACCTTGTTT